TCCTGGTGCTTCCCTGCAGTTTGGGATCTCCTTGCTCTACTCCCTGCTGAGCCACGGCGAGAGGCTGCTGTCCTCTGACGTGCCGCTGGAGCCATGCAGTGGCGACTTCGAGATGTGGTGAGGGGCTGTGCGAACGACGGGGTTGAGGTTCACCAGCCGGTGGGGTGCTCAACCCCTTGCGTTGATGCCCCCAGGACAGACACAGTGTTTCTGGTTGCCCGGGAGCTGTCACAAGTGCCTAAGGCCTCACTGGTGGAGCCTCTCTTCTTGCCCAGCAACCTTCTCTCACTCTTCTGCCGCTACCTGGACAAGCAGACCATCCACCACCTGGAAGCCAAGATGGAGTGAGTACCGCCTGGCACGGCTCCCTGCTTCTGCCAGGGATCCCTCAGATGCAGTGGATGGCACTGGGGGCTCGCTGCTTCTGTCCCCCTGGGGACCCCATTGGACACAAGTCTCCAGACATCCACTGGGCTGAGCTGATCCTTGTGGCTTCACTCCTGGTTTCAGCAATCCTGGGACCGTGCCGGCTGGTGCTAAGTTTTGCATTTTCATCAGGTTCACCACACCTTGATGGCATGTCCCTGTGGGATGAATCAAACTGGGGGGCGAAAAGCTGGGGGGATCCCCCCAGCAATTTAGCCAGCAGCTCTAGGGCACCCTTCGGTGGTTGGGCAGGTGGGCTTCAGGCAGCTGCCAGCAGTGCGAGTGTGACAACCTGATGCTCCAACCTTGTCCTTTCCCTGCAGGTGTTCCCCACTGCCATCGGAGGCTGCCATGCTGTGCTGAGCCCCAGGAGCTGGGGATGGGTGCTGGGAACGGGCAGGGCCCAACGCTGCGACTTTGATTTTTCGAAGCAAACACTTACCCTGGTGCGGGGCACTCTGGGTGAACTGGGCACTGGCAGGGCCGGTGCTCGAGGGCCGACCTGCCCCGGTGCCTGGGGCACGGGGAGGCGGGTAACTTATTTTGGCCTCGCACCCAGCAGCAGTGAGTGCTGGATCACAGCGGGTGTCGGAGGCAGGGTCTGCACAGGGGCGCTGGGAGCACCTGGGGGTGAGTGACTTTGTGTACAGCACTTGAAATAAAATAAAAAGGTGATGAACAAGCTCCTCCAGCTCCTGTGGGCAGCTTCTGGGCATGGAGACCCCCGGTCAGCAATGGTGGGCATCCGAGTGCACAGTAGAGGGGGAAGGAGAAGCAGGGAGGAATGCACAGAGGACCCAGAAAGAGGATAAAGGGGGATGGAGGAGAAAGCAGAGCGGAGGGGATCAGAGGACCCATGTGGCTGGGGACAGAGGGGCATTGAGCCCCCAGGGAGAGGAATGGGCTGGAAGCAAAGGGGTGTGGTGGGGAAGATGGGGTCAGAGCTTGCCTGGAGGGGAAAGGAAAGATCTGTGTGTGCAGGAGGGCACATCCGGGTGCACAGGGGGAGGATGTGGGGAATCTTGAACATTCATGAATGGGTAATAAAGCACCTCTTCTCTCTGCTGAGCTCTCAAAGGCTAATTAGTCTAAAAGCTTGCAGGCATGGTTGTGATGAAGTACCTTGAAGCATCTTTCTTGAGCCACTTTAACTGACCATGACTACCACAAGCTGACCCTCACTTCTGCATCTAGGGCTCAGGGGTTGGTGCCTAGGTGCAGCGTCTGGTCTCACTGTACAAATCTTTGTGGCTCCTGTCTTGCTTCCAGGGCTATATGGTGGGATTTCCCCTAATCCTATGGGACATCTGAGCCTAGGACACCTGTGCCTAAGCACCTGGATGCCCCTCCAGAGGTCTAAACTTGACACCCAAAGCCAGGTGTATATTCAAAAGAGGCTTGCACCAGAAACTTCTCTCCCTCATATGTGCCTAAGCTCCAACCCCATGTAGATCAGAGCAGATGAAACTATTCCTTTAAACTGACATCCTCCAGAGGTCAAACTAATGCACATGGAGAATTTGCAGAAAATATGGATGTGACCAGTATGGCTGAGCAGTTGGGTGGGATTTATCTCCATGGCTTATCAAGACAGCTCACATCTCAGCTTCTGAAACACACTTCAGAGGAGCAACTGAGATGCCTGAAGACAGCTGTACAAAGAGAAGAGGTGCTGCAGATGTGATGCAGGACCCAAGAGGGACTCCTGCCCTTCATGCTAGAAGTGAAGTGTAGGCTGTCAATCATCTAAAAGGGTGCGAGGTCCAGCTGGAAGGAGCTCTAGATCATTCTGGCAGCTGCTTTTGTTATCCTGATGTCTCTCCTGCTCATCGTGGTGTCCTACAGCCTTTCCTCTGCCCTCAAAATCAGGCTTGCCAAAAGCAGGTTCAAATCCTTCTCCACTTGCTCCTTGTACTTTGTTGGAAAGTTCTTCTTTGGGACAGCTATGTTCGTCACTGTGCATCCTTAGCCATCTACTGCTATGGCACTTCAAAAGAGTGACACTAGCAGGTTGTCGTCGGGGTGAAACCCATAGTTTTAACCCATCGAGGCAATCTGGGACAATACCTGCATGGTGACCCACCTGTAAGCAAAAGGATGTACCTTGCCACTGCAAACCCTAGAGACAATTTCAGACAGAAGGGAACTAGCAGCTGCTCACTGATTTGCAGGAAGAGAGGAGGACACCAGCGAGTCCTTCAAGATAAGGATAAGCCGTGTTATGTTTTCGGTTTGCAATGGAACAGAGCACAGACCTAGCAAGAGCGCTTCTCGCCTGAGAGCCAGCGGAGATGGGGGAGGAAAGTGTGACATGGTTGCAATCACGTACGAAACCAAAAATGCTCCAATGTAGAAGGGTTGGAGGCCTTTACTGGACTTTGCTGCTTCGTTGCAGGAAGCAGCTGAGATAAAAGAATGAAAATTTGTCTGTCTTGGTTATTCTCCCACGACCAAGGGACCCACACCACCCACCAGCCCCCTCAGCGCTTCCTGCCAGGAGAAAGAGACCCTCTCCCTGGGGCACCACCCAGTGAATTAATTCAGCTGAGAGGTGTCCAGCAGCTCAGGGACCCCATCTGGTTTATCTGCATCCGGGTCTTCTCCCTTAACCCAAAGCTGGCGAAAATCCACGGTGTCTTACCTGGCTCTGCTGTACCTACTGCCCTGCCCGGCTTCTCTTGGCACTGTCCTGAAAGAGCCACCAGCCCTGTGAGGTGGTGGTGACCCATCACCATGAGTGAACAGCTGGACCAAGGGGAGTCACCGTCTTAGGGATATGGGACTCATCCTGGGATGTCTCAGGAGTTATAAGACTTATTGTGGATGTCTTCAGGGTGTGGAGCTCATCCTGGGATGTCTTGGGGGGTACAGGACTCATCCTGGGATGTCTTCAGGGTGTGGGGCTTCTCCTGGGATGTCTTAGGGGGTATGGGACTCATACTAGGATGTCTTCAGGGTGTGGGGCTCATCCTGGGATGTCGTGGGGGGGTATGGGATTCATACTAGGATGCAGGGAAGAACATTTTGGGCTTGCACAAGACTTATTACAGGCTCTTTAGGGGAGGAATCAAAGGTGGGGAGAGGGAAGGATCAAAGTGGTTTGCAGCAGCATCAACTCTCTTCAGCTCCTCCCAGAAACCCTCGAACTGAACAGGCAGCCATCCCGGTCAGGGGGTGGATGGGATGACAGCTGTCCCAGGTTGAGGTGTTGAGGGACTGCAGCCATCTTGGTCAGGGCACTGAGGGGGACCATGGCCACCTCTGGGTACTCAAGGGAGGGTGGATGTCATAGTAGGAGTGTTGAAGGGACCACAGCCACCTCAGCTGGGGCACGGAGGATCTGTGGCCATCTTGGTTGGGACATCAAAGGCACCATGGTGTCTGGGTTAGGGCATCGAGGGGTTGATGGCTATCTCAGTTGGGGCGTTGGGTCTCAGTTGGGTTCCTTCAGTGGAGGGGACCGTGGCCATCTTGGTTGTGCTGTTGAGGGGACTGACGCTGGTTGGGTTGTTGAGGGGACCATGGCCATCTCAGCTGGGGTATTGAGGGAACCATGGTGTGGAGAACTTCTAGTGCAAAACAACGAGATGTCTCAAACAGCCTTGGTGCTAAAACCACAATGCAGAGCAATGGTTGCTAGGACCCAGGACTGGATGGTATCTGGAGTGAGGGTGAGGGAGGGAGTCCTGCCAAGGCAGGTTGGCCTTGCCTCGGCCCCATCCCCCACAGTCTGTGAAGCTCTTATCTCCCCCACACGGGGGAGGGTCCTGGTATCACTCCTCTTGGTTTGACTGGTCTCCCCTCTTAATTCAACTGGTATCTCTACCACTCCTGGAACTGGGACGAGAGAAGGTTCCAGAATTCCAGAGACTGAAATCTGTAAGTAGGGACTCCCACTCTCTCTTGCCATCTTTTCCCCACCAAATACCCCCGTTGGCAGGTCCAACGTTTGATCCAGGACTGGTGATTCTCCTCTACTTTCCTCTCTCTCTGTTTCTCTCTTTCACTTCTCCTAAGGTTGTTAAGTTTAACTTAGAGTTGTTATTGTAAAATTGTAGTTACGTACTGCATGGCCTACCTCAATTTTCCATAAAGCCGCACAGCTTAGCCGCGTAGCTGGGGTAGATATAATCGTGAGAGGGCTGGTGGATATCGAATATTTGTACTTGATACTTGTTTCTGTAGAAGCTTTCCATTAATGCTGGTGTTTGTGTATGGACCTTGAGCGTTGGCTCACCTTAATCCACACCAAGAGGATTTGCGAATCTTAGTCACCCCTTCCCCCAGGTGGGACGTGACACACGGCCATCTTCGTTGGAGTTTTGATGGGACCGAGGCTCGTTGTGTCATTGCGGGGACCACGGCCATCTCAGTTGGGTTGTTGAGGGGACCATAGCCATCTCAGTTGGGGCATTGGGTCTCAGTTGGGTCTGCTCAGTGGAGGAGACTGTGGCCATCTTGGTTGGGACATTGAGGAGACCATGGCCATCTTGGTTGGGGTGTTGAGGGGATCAAGGCTGGTTGGGGGGCATTGAGGGGACCACAACCATCTCAGTTGGGTTGTTGAGGGCACCATGGACATCTTGATTGGGTCATTGAGGGGATCACAGCCATTTCAGTGGGGTGTTGAGGGGACCGAGGCTGGTTGGGTCATCCAGGGGACCACACCACGGCCACCCCGGTCGGGCGCTGAGGAACGCCCGCCACTGCCGCTCTCCTCTCGCAGCTGCCCCTCGGCCCTCCCAGGGCTGGGCTCGCCCACTGCCCCCGAGGCGGGGGTGACGCTCCCCCTCCGCCGCCGCAATGGTACATCCCGGCAGGTCTCCCTACCCCCGCGCCAGGCTCGTGGCCGTTTCCATGAGGACGGCGCGACGCCTGCCAGCGAAGGAAAACTGTGGCGCTCATTGGCTCCCCCGGCAAGGGTGGGCGGGGCGGGAGGAGGCACCGCCCAATCCGGAGGCCGCCCGTCCCTCCGGCCCCGCCCCGGCGGGCTAAGGGGGGGGCG